CTGCCCACCTCCTCTCAACTCCCACAGCCCTTCTGCCTATACATGTCTCTGGGTATATACACCGCCAGTAATATATAACCCAACAAAGCTGAGTGACCAATTAATTCATTGAGGAGGAAAGTTAAAAAAAATAAGTATTTTAAGGGGAAGGGGGGAACCACAGACAAATGAAAAGGAATAAAGTAGCATGTGTGTTGATGGGGTTAAGAAAAATGATAGGAAGTGACATTTTCCTTTTCCAGGGCTACACACTGGTTGGATATTGATGGATTTCTTTGTTTTTACTTTTAAATAAAAGTAGGTGGCAATGGAAATAATAACTACCTAAGAGTAGACATGAGGATTTCTGTTGTAATTCTGGTTCCCAGTCTGTGAAATCCTGCTTGGCAGGTTTGGTTACCACTTTCCCCCACTTTCTTCAGCTTCCCACAGCCCACAAACCCCAGAAGTCTCAGGGTGCATTTTAGTATTTTCAGAAGTTGCTTGGGAAAATGAAACTGATAGGTGTAAGTGAATGATACCAGCAATCTCAAAGCACAAATGTAAACGGGAACCACACTTGGTGCTCAAATATACCACAGACACTGCATTTAGTTTTGCAGACCATCCTGAAATAAAACCAAACATTCCTATTCTTATACCAATTTGATTTCAGAAAGTCATTACAATGCACAAAAGTCATTCAAATATCACTCTCATTTTGCCTAAATTTTGTTATTCCACCAACCAAATTGTTGGGATATATATAAAAATAAAAGATAGAATTTTTTAAATTCCATTTTTCCATTCTTCTTTTATTCCACGACTGAAAGGAGAAAATAACATGTAGGAGCTCTCCTTCAGAGATAGATCAACCTTGCTTCACAAGTTAGAATGTCTATGGTGCTCAGGTTTGCACCTCACAGTAGTTCTGTACAACTGCAACATCAAATGCCTGCTTATTTTGGTATGGCTTACAGTCTGTCTGAATTGGATCCATAAGACAAACTACAAAATAGCATCACATAACATCTGTACTGTGACACAGCTTTGAGCAATTGTCATGTCTTTGTCTTGCAAAACAATTAATTCAAAATTATGTAATGAGACCATTAAGACCTGTCACAGTCCTCCCTTGCATATTCTCTCACATTCATTCCTTCTTTCCTACTGCCCCTCCCACAATGACACTGTCATGCTAGACTATTGCTACAGTCTCCTAACCCTGCCTACATCTACTATCTTCCACAACCACAGTGCTGCCAGAGCAATATTCCTAAATTACCTCCATGCACACCACATTCCTTCATTCAAAACAAAGCTAGACACAAATCAACCCTTCAGTGGCTCCCTATCTGAGTTTAGCCCCACATTTAGACCACTCATATTCTGGCTCCAGTCCAGCTTTCCCACTGGAATGTTACTCTTACACTCAAAAAATCTATAGTATTTGCTAACACTTTTGTTCCCCCAAAACACACACACACACACACTTTTCTGTTTCCAAAGCTTTGCTCATACTATTCACCCATCTGGAATGCCCTCACTGCTGGCCTTCCCTTGGCCTATTCAAGTACAATTTATCCTTCAAAGCCAAATTCAGCATCCTCTCTTCATTGCCCACCAATGTTCTCTTTGGCGTCTACAGGACTAATGCTCTGCAAACAACTCACTTAGCATTTCTTTGATGTATCATATTATTGTCCAGTTCTGCCTATGTTCCTATCACTAGACTGTACCAAAGGGTACAAACCAGACTACCTGGTCACTTGAGGCTCTGCTTCATCCTCTGGTTCAGTTCTATAAACACAGCAGACACTTAGTACATATTTGATTGGCTAAGTGGTTAAAGATATTATTTATTCTCTCATTCAACAAATACTTATTGAATATCCAATATATGCTAGGCACTGTACAGGCACTAGGAAAATATAAGTGAGCCATAAAGACAAAAACTTCTGTCTCATGGGACTTTGATTCTAATGGAGGACAAAGATAATTGTTTTTTTATAAGAAGTATAATCTAAGGGTGGAAAGTAGAGTGTGATTTTTAAACAGAATGAACAGGAAGGCCTTGATGACAAAGTAACATTTAAGCAAAGACTTGAGTGAAGTAATGGAACAAGGTATGCAGATTTCTGGAAGAAGAACATTCCAGGCACTGGAACATCAAGTGCCAAAACTCTGAGGCAGGAACATGCCTCAATATTCAGGGAAGAACAAAGAGGTTGGGTGGGGGCAGAATGGGAGGAAGAGGGGTAAAGAAGCAACAGGAGCTAGGCTAGGGAAAGCACTGAGGGCCATTAAGGGTCTTGGGCTATTATCCCTTGGCAATGGAGCAGAGGATCAGCACATCTGACTCATGTTTGAAAGGACAGATTTGGATGTTCACTGAGAAGAAGCACATGGGGACAAGGATAGAGGCAGGAAGACCAGGAAGGATGGCATAGATTAGTCAGGTGACAGACGATGCAGGATTTGGACTCAGAATGGTGGCAGGTGGTAGGAAGCTCTCTAATTCTGGATGTATCTGCTAGGATTTGCTGATGGGTCAGTTGTGGGATATGAGGGAAAGAAGAATTAAAGATGACTCCAAGACTGGGCAGGACTGCAATTTCCAAGGATGGGGAGGACCTTGGGGACAAGTTCCTAAGGGGAGAACAGTACATCAGATATTAGAAATGTTAAGTCAGAGTAACAAATGACAAGACAGAGGATGCAGTTAGATTCAGGAGTCTGGAGTTCAGGGGAGAAGACAGGACTGAAAATAAACTTTTGGGCACTGTCAGTGTACTGATGATACTTGAAGCTATGGGGCTAGAAGAAATCAGGGGAGTGACTATAGGCAGAGATAAGGACAAGGAAGCCCTAAGAACCAGCAAACAAGACTGAGAAGGAGAAGCCAGTGAGCAGGTGGAAAATGACAATGCTTGTATGCTGAGAAGAGCCCGTATGCTTGCAAGAATAATTCCTGTCTGTGGGCAGCTGGCACTGACTTTAAACTTAGGCTATAGCAGCCAAGGAAGAGAATTTACTTTCCCCACTCCTTATAACAGCTCTGGTCAGGCAATCTTTAGGCACAGGCTACTAAGAAAACAAAGATATGATACAGTTTTCCTTAAAAGTTAAAATAAAATTTTAATGTAACACAAGATTGAGCTGTATTTTTTACCAAAAAAATAAAGTCTAGTGATAATTACATCAGTTTAGGATTCTCAAGCTTGCCACTACTGACGTTTTAGGTCAGGTAATTCTTTATCATGGGGGCTGGCCTATGTATTATGGGATGTTTATCAGCATCCCTGGTCTCTGTGCACTACATGCCATACCCCTTTACCTCCCTGCCATTGCCAAGTATCCCCTGGAGGACAAAACTGTTCCCAGTTGAGCACCACTGAATTATAGCAGCTGCCAACAAAAACCAACTCTAAGGACACTTTAAGCATCCTTGCTGCCAAAAGCAACTGTCAATTTCTGCTGATATTTGCACCTAATACCTGTCCTCTCTCCTCCAGACTTCTTACCAGCCGATTTGGAAAGTTCTCATTGTATTCACTACCCAGAGTGAGGAAAGTAAACAATTACCATACCCTGTTACTAAAAAATGTACTTTTGATTTTTTTTCAATGTAATAGACATGCCCCAAGTCTACCCAGTTAAAAATCGACTGTTTCTGTACACCCCTGTTCATAGCAGCACTATTCATAATGACTAAGAGGTAGAAGCACCCAGTATCCATCCACGGATGAATGGATACACACACACACACACAACAGAACATTATTCAGTCTTTAAAAGGAAGGGAATTCTACACATGCTACAATATGGATGAACCCTGAAGACATTATGCTAAGTGAAATACGCCAGATACAAAAGGACAAATACTGTGTGACTCCATCCATATGAGGTAGTCACATTCATGGAGACAGAAAGTAGAACAGTTGCCAGGGACTGGAGAGAGGAAAGACTAGGAAGCCATTGTTTAATGGGGCAGAGTTTCATTTTTGCAGGATGAAAAGAGTTATAGAGATGGATGGCAGTGATGGCTATGTAACAATGTGAATGTACTTAATATGCTGAGCTACTGAACTGTGCACTTAGAAATGGTTAACATGGTAAATTTTATATTATGTGCTTTTTATCACAATTAAAAAAAAAAAAGAGTGCAGGCTCCAGAGTTAGGCTGTCTGGGTTCAAATATTGTCAAATGCCCAGTGAAGTAGCCAGCTCACAGTGAGTGCTCCATAAATATTAGGAGCTAATTGCACATTGGTATTTTACCTGGAATTATACCAAATCAGTGTGGATGTTTGTGAGGAAGCCTGGCTGACAGTTATGTGTGCCTTTGATTGGTGAAACCAGAAGGCAGTCATCAAGATAGTTTAATTTTTAAAAATGACCCTTTCTGAGAATAAAATCATTTTACTAACTGAATATCATTATGTAGAAAATAAGGTTATCTCTTTCCTCTCAAAATTAGATCCTCTCCTGGGGATTTATCTTGTCACTTATTTTAAAGACCCAGACTCTTTTTGTATTATTTTTTTCAAACCTTGAAAAATTTTTAAACACTTAAAAATATCTGCATATATGTAAACACATTTTTTTCTTAAATTGATCAACAATCCATTCTATATGTTACTCTATTTACATAGGTTTTTCTTTCATTATCGATTTCAGCAATTACATGCATAGTCCTGTTGTCTGTAATTGTGACTTGATTCCTTCCTAACATATCTGCTCAAAATGGAACTAATTTTTAATACCTGTATTTGCTATTAACAGAATGAAATAACAAAATGAAGGAGAAAAGCGAGGAACAGAAACATAACAGAAAATGAGTAAGAGAAAACCAACTTTGAGCAACAAGCAAGAAGCATATTAAGAAACTAAGAAGTTCTTAGCTCTTGAAGACATGCTCACTAGTCATTAGGACAAAAAATGGGTATACGTTCAGGAAGAATCAAACCACAGAAAACTACAAGTGCCAAGAGAAGATGGGGTTTTACGAATTGTATAACCTGCATGGGATTAATCTTCACTGAGCGCTCAAAGCACTCCACGCATTCTTTAAACTCCTTGTTGCGCAGATGAAGGAGGCCTTTGGAGCGCTGAGCGCGACCACTGCGGTGCTGGGACAACTCCCAGGCCTTGTCATAGTAAGAGTGGTCTCGAAGGACATCTCCAAGCAAGCAGTATAAACTTGGCGTCTCTTTTTTCTTCAGTTCTTGCCTAAGGATTTCTTCTGCCTGGAAATAACAACAGAAATAACTAAATTGTTTACAGTGACTAATGGTTTTTTTTTTTTAGCACCTATTCATCTTTTTATCCCACACAATCCAAGATTTTACCTCCGAAGTTTGAAATGACCATATTTCAGGCAACTAGGATACAGGCTGAATAAGAGAACAATAGAAAATAAATATGGTGCAAAGAAAAGAGAGGTAGAAGAAGGAAGAAGTGAATGCAGTTTCCTGGGCTCTGGAATTCTCAAGGAAAGGCACGCGCGGTGGGTGGGGAGGGGTGCGGCGGGACTCATTCAGCTTCCCGCTTCCCGGCTTCCCACTGTGGTTGTCACCACTGCGACCCGCGACCGTCTGTTAGAGCAGCACCTTTAATTCACCTTTACCCAATGGCAATGAAAAGTATGTTCTTCCTCGTTTATAATGGTATACTCTGGTTGCCTGGGATCGCTGAAACATTATTAAAAAAGAAAGAAGGCACAATTTAATAGTGTTGCTAAACCCCTACCTCTTAACCATACTATATCTTACCTCACCAATAAAACTTACTAACACAAGCCCTATCTGCTTCCAGACAGTACATTCACTTTAGAAATTAAAGACCATCCTCAATACACTACATAGGCTGGGTATTATGTCCAAAACTCAGATCCACCTTATCACCCACAAAAACGTTCACATTAACAGCAGTGTGGTCTCCAAAGAGGCATGGCCACAATGAATGTAAAAATCCAGGAAGCCATCCTTTAATGGCTAAAATAATACTTTGGACTCCCTAACTTACATAGCTGGCAATCTTTAAGTCTGTATATTTGATTTTCTTTAGGTTGTACATATCTATAAATTCTTAGGCAGTCTAATTTTCATGAAATATTTTAAAAGATGGGCATGCCTCTAAAAGTGTCTTTGGAGGCTGGCTCTCTTGCATTTCCGATACAATATGGGCTATATAGGCCTTTTAGGCCTATTCTGAAAATAGAACCAGAAAGTATAATACAGTTTCTAAGGGAAAACTATTGTAAATCCCAAACAGCCAAAATAAACATGAAGTTTTAAGATATAATCCATGTAATTCCTCTATAATAGATAATACAATAGTTATTTATGTATCTAACTGTAACTCTGTAAGGTCACCTACATATTCAATATATTTATGTTTATATATATGTAAATACATATTCAACCAAATTATGTGTAACAGACTATAGCCACAGCAGTATTTTTGCTGAAAAGATCTTACAGTGTAGTTGAAAGCATTTGTCTTGGTAGCTGGCATCAAAACTCGATTCCCAAACTCTCCCAGAAATTCAGAAGGCTCATGTACTCAGTAGGTTCCTTTCAGCTTTAACCAGTTAGAGTGGATCCTGTGGTCTGCGATTAAGCGTTAAATAATAATCATTATAGTAATTGGGTACAGAAGTGACTGCAGGGAACACACCCATGCAGAAAACGAAAATTTGTGATTAGTACCCCTATCTGGTTGGATTTGAAGAAAATGAGGATCCAGTGATCATGAGAAGGTAAAACATTGTTAGTCTATGATATCCAGTGATGAAAGAATTATTTAAATTATTACCTGATGTAACTTAGAATACACATGTCCCTAACATAAGGCTTTTGTGGCCTGAGTGACAGGACACTGTGAAAGACACAGACTGTGAGGGAGGCTGGCTGCTTCAATGTGCACTGGATAGCTCAAAAAAGAGAACGACACTTGTTGTTTTAAATCCTCAAGGTCAGAGAACCAAGGGAATTTCTATGACTAACTAAAAGAATTTCTTTTCCCTTGTAGCTGCCAAGCTGGTGCAGCCAAAAATCAAATGCAGACACTGCTCTTTCAAGATTTGTGAACCACCATAAGAGCTGAATTCATTTTCACTAGTTCTATGTGAAATTAAGGCATTTGATTGGTTAATTAAACAATATTTGTTTCATTCGTTTCATTCCCCTGTTGCCTTTTAGCTACTACATGTCACTTTATTTGTGAGTGGTCAAAGTTCATTTGGAGTTAATACTATATCACCTCACTTTTCTCACATCATAAGTAGCCCAGTCAAGCCCTTTCTAAATTTCTTCTCCACAGAAACAATGAAGCGAATGACTGCTGTTGTTTTAACCCACTAAGTTTTGACATGGTTTGTTACATAGCAATAACGGTAATGGCTGTTTAAAACAAGAGGGTGCTCTAATCAGTTACTTCATCATGCCAGGAGCAGAAGAGGGCACTGATTATGAAAGAACAGTGCTCAAGAATTTAAAAAGCAGATTCAGGATGATTCAGATAACAGGAACCCCCAAACCCTACTGAGTTTCCTAGGCCAGCAGAGGCAACCCTCCCCTATCTGGTAAGTCTAGCGCTACCTTGCTTAAAGAAAGATCAAGACTGCACCTCAGTGAGTTACCCTGCAAACGAATGTCAATTCTCCTCATACTTGACCCCTTCCATCCATCCATCCCTTATTGCCTCCAGACACATAAGTAGACATACATAAAAAGAACTGCAACATTTGGTTACTTTCTAGAGGGGAAACCTTAGGATCACATAGAAAAGGAAATTCTAAGCATGTCACACCATAGACAAAGAGAATCATATTTTTGAATCAGCTGAATTTAGGTATCAGAAATTTTTGAGTAATCATGTAAACTCAAGCAGCTGGGGATGATTCTAAATTATCTGCTCAATTGCTTGACTAAAACCTGGACTTAAATATGGCCAAAATTAAAGTTGAAATGCTAGAAACTCCTTGGTGTAATGTGGAGGAAAGAATCCAGCAACTTAGAAAGGCTATTATTAATTTATTATTTGCCCACCCCTAAGTGTGTTCCTCCCAAGGCCTAAGGGATACTCATTTCATGTTGGCTTTGGGAAATACTTGTATATGGAAGTACTAGCATCCTTGAAAAGTGCTATAGTAGATGTCTTGTGTAAGCTGGGGGAAACACTTGGAGGTCCTTCTATTGAAATGAGCTTCCTGATTTCAATGGGGATGATTAGAACCCAAGGCAGTGGAGACAGGCTGATAGCACTTAACCCCTGGAGACAAATGGGCAGACTTATCTGCAGTAGGCACAGCCAGAGTAATTACAATGGTGCACCCAGCACAGACCTCAGGTACTGGTTGATCCAGGAGGCCTTAGAACCAAATTAGATCAATAACCAACTAAAGTTCAAACTTGATCCATACAACATTAAAAAAAAAAATCTATGTCTGGAGACCAGATTTCTGACCATGCTGAAACACTGTCTTCTCACCCAATTCCTACCCCTGAGTCACTTCACAGATGCAGAGCCAAGGAAGGAAGGGAGGGGAAGAAGAGGAGGGAGGGAAGGGACAGAGGAAAGGAAAGAAGGGAGGGAGGGAAGGGAAGAGAAATCAGTACTGGTAAGGAAGGACCCTACAATAACAAGTATATACCATAATTTTTCTTTCCTGGGCTTCCTCAAGAAGCAATTGTAACTATTTACCAGGTACTTATATCCTGGGGAAAAAGAAATACCTCCTCTTTTCAGGGCTGATTCGCTCCTAGTTAATGCTAACCCTTTGGAACCCAGAATGCTACCATGATGAGCTAATAGGTTTACGTGCATCAGTCCATCCCATGGTGGCCTAGTAAGTCCTGAATCCACCCAGTGGTTACTTCCCTAGTTCCTGAATACAGAGTTGGATCACGTTATACCCACCAACAAGCACAGAGGTCAGTGAGTGCTACAGCAAAATAAAGGGCCTAGTAAAAGCCCCAAAGCTTCCTCCTCCCCATTACAAGAGAAAACCCAACAAAACACCATACATCTATATAAAACACAGAAATGTGTGCCACTATCAAAAACTTAAAAGATACTGCAAAGTGTATGTGGGGCAGGAGTGGTGAATGGGATGTATAGACTGTTTAACCTACCTGTTTAATCTGAGAATACAGACAGGTCCTGGAAAATATCACAGATTATTATAAATTTAATACTTAATGGTGCCTCTAACAACAGCTACTTTTCCAGACATGATCTCTTTACCTGAACAAATCATCTGAGCCCCTGACAGACGGTAAGCAGATACTGATACAGTAAATATATTTTTCTCTACCCAACAACCAGACAACATCAGAGTCAGTGGGCTTTCACTAGCACAGAGAAAAGTACACTTTCCTATCTTCCTCAGAATTGCACAGACTTTATAGTATAAGTAAGTCTGCAAGGATCTTGACTGTCTCACCATCCCATTTGACTTCACCAGCCTATGACCTCAATGACATCATGCTAATAGAACTCAAGAAACAAGGATAAAACATTGTGTCCCAATGCCAACCAAAAACCAACTGGAAACAATCATATTCTTGATACTATAACTTGTTATCGGAAAATGCTCAACTTACAAAAATTCATTTGATAAACATACCTCTAGGGAATTCATCCATTAAATAAAGCAAGATATGTAAAATAAATGTCTGTGTATTTCTAATTATTTTTGTTCTTGTATGTTCTAAGGATGCTTCACTATCTACCTCTTTTGAAGAAACTGTACGTTTCTCAAAATAAGAAACTATTTTTGATTAAAGATGGCAGCATGAGAGGAGAGACAGAGGCTTCCTCCTAAAACTGGATACAATTAGAAAATTTAATTGGCGCAATTAATCCCAAGAGAGCAACAGGAAAGAGGACCACGTCAGACTGCACACACCTAGAGAAAAGAGCAGACCTCAGCGAACGGGGTAACTAACGTACCGGAGCTGTGGCTCTGTGGGACCCAAACCCCTCCCCCACCCCAGCTGACCGGCAGGAGGAAGTCAAACGGAGCAGGGAGGGAGTGGAAGGCTTGGGACTGCTGAATTCCTACCTCGGGAGATCTGCGCTGGGAGCACAAACCTACATTTCACAGTGCTTTCATGAGACTCACCATGACTACTGGGTTGGAAAGTTAATACAGGCAGAGTTCCCGGGGAGACTGGGATTCCAGCTGCCTGTGGAAAGCAGGGATCCATATCTGGCTGCTCTGAGACAAAAACTTATACCT